TGCCCGCACTCCCTACCCTCACTCCCCTGCCCGCACCCTCACCCTGCCCTCCCTCTCCTGTCCCCACCGTGCCTCCACCCTGCCCGCCACTGCCCTCACCCGCATGGCTCCTGCACAGCCCTGCCCCTGCACCTTCCCTCGGCGCTGTCTGGGAGCAGACCCGAGGCAGGAAGAACCACGCAGGGGCCTGGGGGCAGAGTGAGTCCTTTATCAGGCGGCAGGGCCTGGCTCCATCGTTCAGCAGCTCCCCATGCCGAAGCCTCCTGGTCGAGGGCCGACAGGGCCCTGGGCTGCGCCAGCCACTCTGGGGTCTGGTAGGCCCCGGGGTGCAGGGCTAGGGGCAGGCAGTGGCCCCCACCCTGAGGCAGTGCCTGTGGGAGAGGGATCCCCACGGCCTGGCAGCACTGCCCCTCACTCGGCCGGCCTGACCACAGCGGCCCCACCGCCAGCTCCTCGCTGGCCTTGGCAGACACTCTTCTGGCAGCACCCAGAGTCTCGGCAAGGGTGGGAGAGCCCTCGGGGGACAGCTAAGAGGAGCTGCCACCGTGGCCCATCCCTGCCACTGCCCGAGTGGCCTGCTCAGGGACGCAGGCTGGGTCGCTCAGGATAGAGGTGGAAATGCTCAGCTGCCGGAGAGAGCTCAGGACGGCTGCAGGGAGATGGGGGACATGTCAGGTGACCCCCATGCCTTGGGGTTACCCCTCCTGGGAGACACAGCGCTTTCCATCCCGGCTCCAGCCCCTGGAACAGTGTGACACCTCCTGGCCACAGCCTCCAGCCAAAAGGATGAAGGGAAACCCACCGTGTGGGGCTTGGGAGGGCTGAGCCCTGCCCAGGCAGGACACAGGGCTCAGGACAGGGCAGCAGCAGCCAGCTCAGCTAGAGCGCGGGTGTCAAAGTAACTCGGAAAAGCACCAAGCACGTAGCCCAGGACATCCTGGAGGTGCTTCCCTCCCATGTGGTAGAAGTGGTGCAGCACCAGCCCCACCACCCCCCAGGGTGTCCCCATCCTTCTCCCCTCTGTTTTTCCAGCAGGCCCAGCTTCTCCAGGGTGCTGTGTGTGGGCACAGGGCCACCTACTTGGCCGAAGTGCTGGGAGGGAGCAGTGCTGGTCCAGCCAGGCAAGAGATGTCTGGGTGAGGCTCTCCATGCTGGCCGTGGAGACCATGCCGTTGAAAGACTCGAAGAGGGGCCGGATGATGATACTGAACTGATGGGAGCAGGGGAGTTAAGGACCAGCCTTGCCAAGACCATGGTCTCTCACCCACCAGGTGTGGGCAGCACCCTTCTACATGCAGCAGGACAAACCTCCCTGCCCGGCTGTGGAGCAGGTCTGCTGGGTGCCTTCCTGAGCGCAGCACCGTGCTGGGCACCAGCCTGTACTGCTGGGGCAATGGGGACCTGAGTGTCAGCCAGGGCAGGCAGTGGGAGAGCTGTGTAACCCCTGTCACAACTGGGGCTGCCAGAAATGGTTAATTAGACACAAGACAACTCTTCCAGAGCAGATCAAGGAGCCAGCTAGCACCTCTAAAGTGCTCAGGAACAAGGCACCACCAGTTTGTGTCCAGTGTGCTCCCCTGGTGCTCCCAGACTGCAGAGGAACTGCTGGGGACTGGTGATTCTGTGTGTGTAGTAATCCACAGCAGATATCTCCACCACGAGCAAGTCCTGCAGCCTGCGTCACCTTTAGTATACTCAGTGTCCTGTGGAAGGAGCTCCACAGTGCTCACCAGCTCTGCATCAGGAGCCACTTCTGCCTTGCCCGGACTGCCCGCACTGGAGCAAACCTTGGGGAGCAATGCCTGTCTATCCCGCTGCCACTTGAGATTTTGTAGACTTCACAGTATCTGCAAGCTTAATGGTCCCAGTGTGTCTAATCCCTGCTCACAGAGAAGCAGGTCCAGCTCTTTGGCCACCCGTTCCCTGGCCTTTGGTGCCCTCCATCCTTTCCACTGTGTGGACCCCAGACTTGTGTCCCAGACATGGGCACACCTAGGTTTCCAGGGTGTGCCACAGGGCCACCGAGACCAAACCATCATGTTCCCAGCTTTGTGTCTGGACCTTTCCTAATCTCTAGTTGATGGCTGCTGCCTCTGAGAGCCCATGTCACCATGCATAAGCTTAACTTCGTAGTGACTTTCCTTCTTCCCAAGGACCGACCATTTACTCCTACTCCCATTTGCTCTCTTGTAACAGAACCTTCCTCCTAACCACCATATCTCGGCATGTTCCCACCATCTGCCTTTGGCTGGGAAACATCTCACTGTGGTCCCCAGAGGTCCCACAGATCCAGGAGGTGAACCAGAGGACCTGAAGTTTGGTGGAGACGTCAGAGCAAGCAGCAGGCACCGGCCCCAAAGGATACGATCCAGAACTTCCAGTTCTGTAGTGTGGAGGAGCGGACATACTCGTCAAACATGCTACGCATCTGGTCAAAGCGCTGGCGTGTGATGGGCACCCCTGTGGCTGGCAGCTGCTCCTGGCACAGGCTGTGGGGCACAAGCAGTGCTGTGGGATCGGGACACTGGGAGACACGAGGGCTGCCCTGTGGCAGAGGCTCTGGCAGCTCTCAGCGAGGGTGGGCAGGCAATGTCCCCCTCCCTGGCAGCTGTGGCGCATGGCCCCAGTGCTCTGGTCCCACACAGCGCTGCCTTTGGAGCATCATCCCTCTCCAAACAGGGTTGGAGGAGGGACAGAGTCAAACACAGGTCCTGGGAGGTGCTCAGGAGACCTGCTGTGTCCTGCCACTGCTGCTTGCCCTGCGGGGCTACCCTGATGTGGGCAGTGGCTCCCTCCCACCTCCCCCAGTCATGTCCCCCCCTTACTTGATGGAGCCATTGAGCTCCTCGATTTGCTCCCGCAGCCTCTGCGCCTCATCCTGCAGGGCTGCCCGCTCTTGCTGCAGCTTGCAGATGTACTCGGCTGTCTTTTGCAAGGTGGTGGCCTTGCTGACCTGCAGGGCCACAGGGTGAGACACTGAAGGGAGCCCCTGGGGTGGGCAGGGCACAGGGCTCCCAGCGTTTTGTGCAGCAGTGCCAGGTGCCCTGTTCCCTGCTGCCGAGCCTTGACAGCTTCTGCCACAGGCTCCAGAGTCCAGACTGCCATGGCACTGCGTGGGTCTCCACATGCCGGCATGGACCTGCAGCCTCCTGCCCCCCGGGCTGGGGTAGACCAGGGGCGGGGTGTCCCCAGGTGACACGCTGTGTCCCTGCGTGCCCAGGGCTGGCCTGTCCTCACAGCCCTGGGCGCTCACCTTGATGCTGGGCTGGGCGCTCAGCGTGCTCACCAGGCTGTGCAGCGTGTCGAAGCCCAGCTTGATGTTGAAGCGTCTCTTCTGCTCAGCAGAGATGTGCGTGATGCGGCGGCTCTCCATCTGTGAGTAAGTGCTATCAGGCACCTCCTGGCAGCGGAGACAGCCCTGGGCCACCAGCCCCATCGGGGACAGGCTTGCCCAAAGCTCGCAGTGACAGGGAGGGGTAAGTTTGGGGGGCAGCAGGGAAGGGGGATGCATATGGAGATGGTGCCCCCATAGTAAAAGCAGCACTTGCTCCTGCTGTACCTTGCTGGACTCAGGCCTGCCCCGACGGGACAGGGGGTGGTGCAGAGAGATGCCAGCACCCAGCCCTACAGTGGGTCCTGGGGAAGCCTGGCCAGGCTTGGGCCAGTCGCTGCCTGAAAAAGGAAAGGTGATGTTCTGGGGAGAGGGGCAGCAGCAGCCCCTCATGATGGGCTGACACCAGGATCCCACGCTGGGATGGGCAGAGAGGAGCAGCCTGCAGCACTACCTCGGCCCCAGGGCAGCCACCCCGCTCAGCTGACGGATGCTCTGTGCGATGTTCTGCTCCAGACTCTGCCCACATCTTATTGCTTGGTCTTATCCCAGATCCCACTCATTTTACAACTGCTCAGCGATGGGAACATCTGGGACATGACATTCTAAATTCCCACCATATCTTGAGGTGTAAATTGCCAGGAGAGAATCCTGAAGGCCGCAAGGCTGCAGTCTTCAGCACTAAACTGAAACTGGGAACATCAGAGCCTGGCTTCCAGCCGCGGCTCTGGTTTCTGTGGGTGAAAGCAGGGTGCTTCCTGCTCAAAAACCAAGCTCTGGGTTTTCAAAACCACAGTTCTGACGTTTTGCTCCTTTTTGTCTTTTCCTGTTTCTGCTTTTGCCCCCATAGAAGGAGGCAGGTGAAGGGGCTATGCCCTCCCCCACAGAAAGAAATCACCCATGCTTCGGGTAAATGTAAATAGCTGGGATTGAAGCTGGAATGAAACACCCCACAGTGTTTGGTCCCAGCTCCCTGAAGGAAACACTGTGTCCTGTGGAGCTACTTGGAGTGCCCCAGACTTACCACAAGCTGACGTGGGGGACAGCCGCTCCGCCTTGGGGACGAGCAGTGAGCCTGGCTGGGTGCCTGCCAGTGGCACCGGCACTGCTTGGGAAGGGCTGGAGCCAGGAGACAGTGCTGAGCTCAGCTGGGCCATTCTGGAGAGGAACGTGGCAGGGACTTCAGGGACAGAACTCTGCTGCTGGGAGAAGGCAGAAGGAAGCGAGAGGTTGGGGGCCAGCACCCCATGCACATCGGAGACCAGACCTTCCCCCTTAGTTGGCTGGTACCTGGACGCTGACAGCCAAACACCCATGAGGGGACTGGGAAGGGGAATGTGCAGCCCTGTCCCACCATGGGCAGGGGCAGCCTCAGCCCCATCGCCCCAGGGCAGTATCGCCAGGAAAGGGGCCCCGCAAGTGGGGTGTTTCCCACCTCTTGGGAGAAAACACACAGGTGACTCCTGGCTCCCCGGCAACCTGGCCGCATGTCCCCTCCTTCGCCCTGTGCCTGCCCAGCCCCATGTTGCAAAGGGTGACCCCATAGAGCCTCATCTCCCCTGCCCTCCCCCACCTGCCCCAGCAATGAGGAGAGGGCAATTTCTGATCTGGGGGAGCAATTCCCAGCCTGGGGGGTAGGCGAGTGCTTACCGGGGAGACAGGGGATGCGGGCATGAGTCCTGCATCCATCAGGCGTGGGACATCCAAGGCCGGCTCCTGCTTGGCTGCAAGAGGGCAGGCAGCAGAAGGGCACTGCTGTGTGAGGGTGCTGGGGCTCGGGTGACCTTTCCTGCCCCACAGGACAACCAGCCCCCAGCACAGCTGTGGCTGCATCCCCTTCCCTGCCTGTCTGCCCCAGGGAAGGGTGAAGCAGCCCCTGGAGAGAGGTGCCTTTGCTCTCCACAGCGATGATGTTCTTGGGAGCCTTGGTGCAGGCAGGGACCCCCAGTGCCTCCCCAGGAAAGCACAGGGCTCAGGCTCTGTGGGGTCTGTCCCATCGCCTGCACGGGCAGTGGGTCAGGCAGGACACCAGTGACCCCTCGCCTCACCTGCGCCAACAGGGCCACGGACACCAGACTGGGGACACAGGGACCAATCCCTGGGGCCAGCTGGGCCCTGTCTCCCTCCCAGGGCTGCTGGAACCAGGGAGGGCTCCCCTGGGCATGGCTTCATCCCTGGGTGCCCCATGGTGGGGACAGCCACACACCCTGCCCAGCACCCCCAGCATTCCAAACCCGGGGAGAAAGCAAGGTGCCCCCTCCGACCTCCCCCATAGCATCCCCCCCAACCGGCTCGCCCCTGTGTCCCCCTGCAGCACCTAGGCCCCATTACCTGTGGTCAGCAACTGGCTCAGGCAGGGGCTGGGCACAGCCAGGTGAGGTGGCGCAGGGGGTCCCGGCAGCCTCTTCGCCTTGGTGCTGCCAGACTTCGCCTTCGGCCGCCCGCCCCCACCCTGGGGCAGCCCCTTGCGGGGGGCAAACCTGGGGTTGCCCAGCAGGGCGGGCGGCAGGAGCTGGGGGGCAGCCGGGCTGGGGTACCCCGGGGGCACCATGTCTGGGGCATAGCCCGGCCCTGGGGCATGGGGGGCGAAGCAGGGTGCCAGGAGCGGGGAGGTGGAGTGGGTGAGAAGTGGGGGGCCGGGCGAGCTGGCGTAGGGGAACTTGGAGTGGGGGGCTGAGGTGAGGGAGAATGGGGGGTTCTGGCCTAGCAGTGGTGCCCCGGGGGATGGGCTGGCGGGGGAAAAGTGGGGTCCTGGTGGCTCCAGGCTGAGGCACTTGCCAGGGAGGCCATACTGCAGCAGGGGCTTGTGTTGAAGCTGGGGGCTGAGGCCACCGGGTGCTGCGGCAGGGACCTCGGGGGGCATGGGGGCCGGGGGAAGCTCAGGGCCCAGGAAGGCGCCATGGAGGCCAAGCTGGGAGGCACCGCCGGGCTGTGGGAGACATGGGAGGGTCATGGGGGGTCACTCGAGTACCGGCAGCTGTGGGCCACAGGCCGGGATCCTGCTCACCTGGAGGAGGGTGCTGGGCGCGAGTGGGGGCTCAGGGCTTACAGGCAGCCCCCGAGCACCCATCAGGGACCCCTCGCCACTGAACAGGGGCTCAGCCATGGGCACAAAACAGGGTGGCTCCTGGTAGCCCAGCTGTGTCTGCGATGATGGTGGTCGGTGGCTGGTGAAGATATCTGCAGGGTCAAGTGGATACAGAGTGATGGGCATGAGAGGACCTTCCAAGAGAGGGGTGACAGTCCCCGGGGCATGCTGGGCGGAGCTGTACCCTGTTACCAGCACTGCTGGGGACTTGCCAGTCCCACCTTCACCTTGCAGGACCGGGGCAGTGCTCAGCTGCGCCAGCGGATTTGGCACTCGGGTTGTGAAACTCTGGAGTATGGAGGGAAGACGCAGCCCACGCGCCTGAGGCCAGCCTTGCCACACGCATGGGGACAGGAAAACCCGCCCGGGATGCCACCCAAGGGTGGGGACCCTGTCTCTGTCCCCGAAACCCAGCTGGGTGCTGCATGCTCGCATGCCAGGGCAGCTCCCAGGCAGGTGTGTGGCTCCTGAACCAGCCCCGGGCTGGAGCAGGGACCACAACACCCAGGCTGTGGGGCAGTCACAGTGTTGGGGGGCTTGGAGGAGCGAGTCACAGCATCCCCAAGCTCTGGGGGATGGTTCCCTGGAGTTGTGGAGGGTGCTCGCCTCCTCACCCTGGTGCAGCCGTGCGTGCAGCCTGCGGCTAACCACATCCCATGGCCTTCCCGAAGCCAAGCCCTGTGACCTTGCCACGACTCTCTCTCCCTTCCTCTCCCCTTCCCACAACCCTGCTCCTTCCGCAGGCCCAGACGCCGTGGCGTGAAGAGCTGGCCTGACGCTTTGGGCAGCTGCCTCTGTGCTGAAATGAGCTCCCTGGGCACATCAGCCCCATGCATGTGTCAGCTCAGTTCTGCCGCTGCTGCTGCCTGTGCCAGCGCTGGCTTGGACATCACCACTGGGAGGGTTTTCCCTCAAGAGGAAGACTGTGGGGTGGGGACAGGGCTGCCTGATGCTGTTCTGTAGGATGGAGCAGGAGTGCTGGCTGGGTTTGCAGACAGCTGCCCTGCAGCCCCCAGCACAGGCTCTGTGCCCAAGCAGCCACACTCCCAACCCCTTGGCTAGCATGAGTGTCACTGCCTCCAGCCCCGTACTGCCACTGGCAGAGCCCAGCCAAGCCCATGTACTGGCTCTGCCTACCCAGTGTGGGCAGCCATGCCCCCGCACTAGCAGGGCTGCGAGGACTCTGCTTTCCCTCCGGGCTGTGGCACGGGCTTCAGCACCTGGGGTGCCCTGTCTGGGACCTGCAATGGCCTGAGACCCTTTGAGTCTGCACCAGAGGAGCAAACGTGCCCGCAGAGCAGGATGCCATGGGGCTGAGCGTGGTGACAATTCTGGCAGTTCCATGTGCTGCCAGCGACGGGAATACTGGTGTGAGACGGAGCAGTGCCAGCACTGCGCTGCCCCACTGAGCCCTTGGACTGCCCCTTCCCCCTGCGAAGGACACAGTGAATGCCTGGGAGCGCAGCGGAGCCACCCCTGCCCCTCCACAGGCCAGCACTCATTGCGGGCCACGGTGCTGCCAGGCAGAGTCTCAGCTCCCCAGGTGCAGAATCCAGCTCCACGCTGCCCCCAGGTCCCCACTGTGCCCACACCAGGCTGTACCCTGTGACTGGCGCTGAAGCTCTGTGGGTATTTATAGGCATTTCTGGTGCCCAGCTCTGCAGATTCGATTCCTCTTGTGCCTCTCACTGTGATGCAGGGATGGACGGTGGCTTGCAGATCCTGAGAGCCCTGTTCTCCCCTTCTCAGTCCCCTTCCCCACCCCCCAGCTCCTGCCCACACTCCTCTCCACGGTCTCATCACCCTGACCTGCTTCCAGGCAGTGCAGCGTGACCAGGGCACATCGCTGCTCATGGGAGAAGAGCCCACGCGGTCAGCACACCACACCTTTGGCATCCTGTTCAAACCTGAGGCTGCTCTCCAGCAGGACTGGGACTACAGAGCCTGTTTCCAAACCAACGACCCTTCAGCACTGGCCCCAGGCTCTGGGAGAGCCCTGCAGCATGGCAGGGCAATGCCACCCCGCGGGACGGCCAGCCCAGCCCCCACTGCCCCGCTGCCCAGCACGGGTCCTACCTGGAGTGTGGTGCCAGCAGGGCACGGGGCTGGGCTGCTCCCTCGACTCTGCCATCGGGACTTCTCTATCCACCCCACACCGTGCTCCAGCACCCACTGAGGAGACGAGGTGCTTCCTCATTTCCAGACTGGTTTGCATGCGCTGACTGACAGGCTCTGAGCTCTGCCACAGCCACCAGGCACGCTGACAGCCCTGTGACCCTGCGGGAGCCCTGCACCCACCGTCGTGGTGCCACCCTGCACGCTTGCACCGCCATGCTCTGCACAAGGCTGCTGGGGCATCCCCACTCCCAAGCCACAAAGAGCCATCGATTGCCCTTCTGGAAAAGTGGCCTTCGGGACAATTGGATTGGTTGGCACCCCGCACCTAACATTCACCCCCCCCCTCCTCTCCCCAGCCCTCTCCATGGTCACACACCCTGGTACTGTCCACCGCACAGCGTGCGCACACCTCCCCGCTCCTACACCTCTGCCCTGCACACCCTCACTGCCCAGCGCGCTCCCGCGTCCCGCCAGCATGCACATCACTCACACGCAGCACTCGGCTGTTACAGGACTGTAACCTCTCGTCATGGAGGCGAGCTGCTCTGCCCAACATCCCTGGAAATGCCAGGGACAAAACTCCCACCCATGAGTCTCCGAGCCCCCCGAGGGGTGCTGCCCTGCCCGGGGCATAGAAGCCTCTCTCCAGCCTGTGCCTGGGCAGACAAGCCCCACCCGGGGTGCTGTCCCTCACCCCAGCTGTGCTCGGGACCCCCCCCAGCCTCAGCACTTCCCGCTGGGCATGTGCAGAACAGGAGGGGATAATTTTCTGCAATGGAGTGGCTTGCAGTAAGGCCCATTCCATTCCCAGGCAGCAACCCGGAGCAAAATGCCTTTTCCCCAGGAAATTTTCGGGCCTTTTCCCCAGGAAAATAAAGGCAACTTGGCTGCTCATAGAAATATATTGGTTCAGATGGGCACCAATGTGCCCCTCGCTATCTCCTTCTGAGCCCGCGGCCATGCCACCCCGGCAGCACGAACAGCCACTGGGCCCACAGAGATTGGTGCTGGGGTTACTGCTGTGACAGGGGTGAAGCGAGAGGCTGCTTGAAAGGGGTCGGTCAGCTTTCCAGCACCATGCAGGACCTCTCAGGGTCAAGTGTCAGTTTGGCCCATTTGGAACTGTCCCAGCAACTGATGGGGCACCTGGGGACAGGACAGACCCTCTTCCCCAGCATGACTCATCCTAATGGGAACACTGGAAGGAAAGAGCTGAGGAGCGCTGGCAAGAGCATTCCCACCCCATCCCTACCCGGGGCATCCCACCGCCTGCCCTGGCACATCACAGTGCCCCAGCATCCTCCCTGCCAGCATCTGCTCTTGCATCACCCCACAGCCGTATGGTGCAAGCACCCTCATTTCCTTCTGCTGAAGGAAATGGAGACCAGTCCTGGAGCTTGATGGGTGCCCATAGAGGCACAAAGGGGTCTAGAGATGCTGGCACTGCCCAAAGCCACCAGCTACCTGGGAGGGCTGCAGCCACTAGCCCACACCGGCTCCCACCCTTCCAAGTGTGCCCAGGCCACCAGCTCCGGCACGTTCAAGGGTAGAGCTGGTCCCCAGAGCAGCGTGCACCAGCGGTGCCTTGACCTGGCATATGGGGACCCTGCACTGCACAGCTGGGACCAGGACATGTCCTGGCTGACTCCACGGGGCTCATGGACACTCCTGGCTCGTAGCCTGCATGGCAGTGCTGGTGGCAGCCCCAGGGGAGGAGGTGGCCATTGCCTGTGTCCCCCTTGGCAGCCCCCTTGCCCCATCTGGACACCAGTGCCAGGTTTGTCTCTGGTCCAGCCTGGCAGGGACAGTGACTTGTCCCAGGGGACATAGCACAGCCAAGCACAGGCTCCCAGCTCTGAACCAGACCCCCCAGCTGCTCAGCCTAGGGATGGCTGGAGAGCAGGGTGAGAAGGGGGATACAGCAGCACAGAACCTCTAGAGGTTTCCTCTTTCTTGTGGGGGAAAATTTTCCTTTCTCTGTGTGCAGGTAAAATGAGGTGGTTTGGCACTTCTGGAAAAACCCTCTGTTTCTAGAAAACCCCTCCTGGCCAGGCCCCTCCCGACCTGCCATGGCTCTGCCCCAGGTGCAGGCAGGCATGCCAAGCCCCTGCCCTGCAGCCTACTGCAGCCCCCAGCCCATTCATGCTGCCTTTTCAGTGCCAGTGGATGTCCAGTGCTTTCTGGCTGCCCCAGCAGCTCCTGCTGCTGCCTGGCCAACCCTCTGATCCCCCGATTTTGGGCTGCCATGGGGCACAGAGCACGCTGGGCTGTGTGGGATGTGGTACCGCATCCAGGCTGGCTCTTACCCGAGATCTCCATATCGTCCAGGCTGGGCTGCAGGGATGCCAAGTCCGGCTGTATCATGTCAGCATTCCCAACATATGCTGGAAGAGGGCAGAGCTGTGACATCGGGGCCCAGCCACTGCACCCCCAAGACTCCACTTTGGGGCTCCTCCCACCACTGCCCTCACACCTACCCAGCTGCCACCCCTCTGTGGCTCTTCAGCCACCCTGTGTCGCTGCACCTTGCCCTCCAGCTGTGCATGGTCAGGGAGGTGGGTGCCCACCCTGTGGAGACCCAGGGCCATCCTGTCCCCATCGTCCTACCCACCAGCACCACTGGGACCTCATCTAGTGCCCAAGAACCCCAGGGAAAGGCTGATCCTAGGCAGAGGACCTGCCTAATGCTGCAGAAGCTTCAGGGACCTGGCCAGTCAGAGACAGCAAGCAGTGGCGATGGAAGGCAGGACCTACCCACTGGTTACCCAGGGATGGCAGCCCTGTACTGGGCTCTGGTACAAGGTCCCTCACTGGTCTAGTGCTCCCTGGGCAGCTCAACCCATCCCAACTGGGACAGCCCAGGCTGGGCCATAGGGAGCCAGCAGAGGAGGGGATGCTCCCATCCTGCCCAAATTAAGACCGTTGAGAAGGGTGGGAGCATCTTCTCTCCTGTCCCAGCAGGTGGGATGCAGGGGTTCCTGTCTGCCCAAGGGACACAGGTGGCAGCTCCCAGGGGCTAAGCCAAGAGGCAGAAAGGTGCTATGATGTGTGCTGCCCACCTGGACCTCCTCTTCCACATCCTGCTAGAGCAGGGTCTGGGGCACCTACCATCTTCGGGAAGTGCCTGGTGGGTGCTGGGCATCTGTGTCATGGTGAAGAGGGTATCAGAGATGTCTGAGAGGAAGGTATCCAAGTCGAAGTGCTGCCTACCCCCTGGCTCCTCTTCCTCATCCTCAAGCAGCATGGGCACCACGTTGCAGAACAGCTGGTTGCACCATTTCTCCGTTGGCCTCCAGACATCCTCATCCTGCATGAGATGGAGCAAAGGAGCCCCATGGGCACCTCTGATGGGTAGGGTCCATGCTTGGCTCCCTAGCCGCTCTCCCTGCAGCATTTAACACATCAGAGCTTCACACCTGGCACGTTGGTGTTTTCAGAGGGTGAATCTGGCATCCCATGCACTTGGCATCTCATCCCATTGGGCTCGTCACTCCCTGGGGCTTTCATCTGCCCTTCTCCCAAGCTGCCCAGTGCAGGGGTCTGCATTGTACAACCCTTTTCCACCCTCCCCACCCTTCCCCAGCAGACTCACCCTCTTTGGACTGGAGAGCTCTCCCTCCCGGGTGGACTTTCGGAGCTGGAAGGAGAAGACAGGCTGTGTCACCCTCGAGCCAGGGTGGGCACAGTGCGGGGCAGAAACAGGGGCAGGGCAGAGGAGGGCAGGGGCATTCCTGTGGGGCTCAGTGTGACCATCACAAGTTCACACCTGCCTTTACAGGGTCTGGGCTGATGAGCCACCGCTGTGGTGGGACTGTCACTGTGTGGTGGTGTGAGGCTGCCAGCACCCTGTCTGTCTGTGGCACCCCCAGCCTTTGCTGGTCCCAAACAAGTGTCTGATTAGACAGCTGGACCATGCTCCACCCCATGCAGCAAGTGGCCAAGGTTGTGGTGCCAACGAGCCCAAGACCAGGCACCCAGAGTGATGCGGAGCCCCCCGGCCTGCCTGACAACACGTGGTGCTGGGCTGAGACATGGATAGAAGATCCCAGCCCAGCCAGAGCTGTGGGTGAGCTGGGGCCCTCCTTGACCCACCCCAGTATGTGTGCTGTGGGTGTGCTGCCCAGATCAGGCACCAGGCAAGGCCACAGTCAGCCGAGGTCGAGCTGCTGGAGCACACTGCAGCACTGCGGGCAGCTGGGGATGGGGTCCCCGCTGAGCTCCCCCCCACTGGCACCATGGGGGCAGCCAGTATCCCTCCCATGCTGTCAAGAGCCTGCCTGGTCCTGGTCATCCATGGCTCCACGTTGGCATGATGATGTCTTGTCCCACCGTTGACACCATCACAGGATGGGGAACATGACGGGCAGAACCACTCACCCGCTTCTTGTAGTAGATCCTCCACTTGTGGTACTCCCTCATCACCACCTCGATACGGCGTTTCCAGTAGTTTCCCTCCAGCACAACAGCCTGGGGAGCAGGACAGAGGGCCAAGGCTGAGGCCCCCAGCCCCAGCCCTCTGCAGCCAGGGCTGGTTTTCTTGTGCCATGTCAGAAACCCTTTTTCCAGCAAATCTATGAAATACAATGAGCTCTACCCCCTGCATCTCCCCAGCTCCCACTTGTGCCACCCAGACCTCCTTCTGGCCCAGAAACTTGTGAGGGATCATGCCCTACCTCTGGTTTTCGGTGCTCATCAGCCTCTGACCCCTCCAGCGGGGTGATGAAGCCACACACAGGGTTCTTCCTCCGCTCCACAGCTGCACAGGGGAAAACACAGCTGGCTTTACCCGTGGCTCCATCCCTGGGCAAGGGAGGGTGCTCATGCATCTGTACATCACTGCCCCAGTGCCAGCCCCATCCCACCTGGCATCGCCTGGCACTCAGCAGATGGAGCAGGGTCTGGCCCCATACTTACACTGGATGTACCATGCTCTCCATATAGCGTTGTTGAGACGAATTTTATCCCGACAAAGCAGCCGCAGCCCCTTGAAATTCTTCCACTTTGGAGACACCAGCTTCCCACTAAAACACCAAGCAAAGGAGAGACTGAAGAGAACCATCCCAGAGCCCTCTCTATCTGGAGCCTCACGAGGGGGCCATGCCTTGAGAGATGCCCGGGGCCATCAGCCTGGTGGTGGCAAGTCTGGAGCAGGCAGAGCCATTTGTTTCCTCAGCAGGCTACTTGCCAGGCACCTACAGGAGCATACTGAGCTCCTGTTCACCCTGAGAACAACACAGACCGAAACTGTGAGCTTCGCAGACCCTCTTGAGGCTTCTTGAGCCCCTGAGGTTAAAGCACAGCACATGGACTGCGCTGGCCCCGAGTGGGACAGCTGCATCCTGGCCCCAGGGGACGGGAAGTCTCCCGCCCAGGCAAGATGCCCAGGGACATGTATTGTGGTTCTTGCCTCATCACAGCACTTGGGCAGCTATTTCTGACCCTTCTTTTAATGCCAGACAAGGCTTGGCAACGCTACCTTCAGCTGGGGGCAGGCACAGGCAGCGGGGCAGGCAGGGGCAGCCATCTGTGTGGGTCTGAGAAGAGCAGACAGCAAGCTGCAGACGTTAAGGACATTAAGGGACACTTGACTGTGCCCCAAGATGGGCAGAGGGGAGGACCAGCTCTGGCCTGGGCTATTCTCCACACCCATCCCTGAAAACCCCCACCCCTCACCCCAGTCCCCAGCCCAAGCTGGGCTCCCTCCTTCCCATTTCCCAGCTCCCAGAGGCAGCCATGCTTGTTCTGCAGCTCATAGTGGTGGTGGTGATGTCCCTAACTGGGCCTGCAGTGCAGGCAGCCTCATCTCACTAGTTGCCTTGTTTCCTTTCAGCTGAGGGTCCCACCGCCCCAGGAGCTCTGTGGGGCAGGCTGATGTCCCTCTGCCTTACCTTGTGGTCCTTTTCACCTCTCCCTGTGAGTTCAGTAGCTGCCTCAGCTCTCCCTCCCACCAGGGCATGGCCTCAGGGCACAGAGGGGCCCTTTGAGTGTGGGCTGGAGGCTGCATGGCATCCTTCCTGGGAAGCCCACATCCCTCCCCAGGCAAGAGTTTGTCCCTTGCAGATCTCAGTGCTGCTTTGGGTCCCACTTATCCTCAGCACATGCAGGGAAGAGGAAAGGTAGAGGCTGGGCTGGGTGTAGGGGTGCTGTATCCCTCCATTGCCAGCATCTCTTTGGGCTCACCCCAGGGTGCCATCGGGCCATGTCTCCGGGGAGCTGCTGGGGATGAGAGCAGCGCCCAGTAATGCTCTAAGAAGCCACGCGCTTGTTCATTCAAGCTTGTGAAACCCTCGAGCACCCTTGAACAAAGTCTGGCTGATTCTGCATTCACCTGCCTTGAAACCTGCCTCCCGCTGCATGGCACAGCACGGCACGAGGGGCTCCCCTCTCCGTGGCTGTACGGGCTGGGCTGGCAGCTCTGTGCAGCCCAGGGGCAGGTGGTTGGGTGCAGACAGGGTGCTGTCCTCGATGTTAGAGCCAGGCAGCATGAACAGGCAGCAGTGCAGGCAGAGAGAGCCCTGTGCTGGCCCTGCACCCCTCTGTGGCCAGGGGGAGTGTGCTGGGGCAGAGGGGAGAGGAGAGAGCTGCTGTCCCATCTCACCGTGAAGGATCGGGGACCCCTCTGGCTCCAGAGCCTGCTGCAGGGACTTGCCCGGGAGCGGGTGCTCCCACCCACAGGGGTGGATGGGGACCATCACCCCAGGGAGATCTAGCCTGACCCATGTCCCCGTGGCTACAGACTGCAGAGAGTTAAGGACTTGACTACACACTGGCCACTCTGCTATCACCAGGATTTTGAACCTTCTCCAGCAGCACAATGCAAACAGCGTGGGGATGCCAAGTAGAGGAGCCAATGGAAGGGATGGGTTTCCTGGGAGTGTAGCCAGATCCTGCTGGTCAAGGCTACCTGGCCACACTCGTCACCACCGCCGCCCCCCTGACAGCCAGCTCTAGGGAGCAGCCCGAGCCTGCAGACTGCAGCCCCACAGCTGCAGATGGCACCTGGGCCACGCATGAAGATGGTGGGGCTGTGGCCACAGAGCTGCTGTGGGACCTGGAGGCAGAGGAGAGATGCCTTTGGGCTTTGACACTAACTGCCTTATTTCCCCATTAATGATCCTCTCAGTTTTGGGGTTTATCAGGATGATTTTTTCCCCCAAGTTTGCCTTGAAAATGTCCCCACCCCTCCCTGAAGTTATCTCCCCAAGGAGATGGATGGAAAACCCATGCTGAGCCACAAGAATGTTTGGGATGCTCCACACAGGCTGGGGGTCCTGCTGCCCCACACTGCCAGAGGAATGGGGACACAGATCCCATCACTGGCTTTGTGGGATAGGGTGAGATGGAAGCAGGGCTCATACTGGGACCAAACCCAGCTTGTGTCAGCACAGACTCTGTTTTGTCCATGATTTGCTTGCTTGTTTGCTCCATGATTCATTTAGCCCGTCCAGAATTTTGAAGTGTTGTAACCCCTGTTTTCATGGCTAAATGAGCCTTTTTCTCTCCATCAACAGCAAGAGGAGGGGGAGGAAGGATCTGTCAAGATGCAGGGCTGCATGAAGAGAAGTTGGTGGCAGCAGAAGTGGAGCAGCTAAGCTGAGGGTCCCCTGATGGGTACAAGTCAGCTTGGCCTTCCCAAGCACAGCAGGAGCAGGATACCCCCCGGGGCTGCCCAAGCCCCCTTGCTCCCTGAGCTGCCAGGACACATCTTGGTCCCAGGCTGGCTGGAAGAGGACAGCCTTTCCTGGAAGTCCTAAAAGCTCATGTTCGATTTCTCATAAATTTTGCTACCAAAGTCATGGTTTTTTTCCTGAATTTTTATGTTTTAAGATGCAGAGTCTGTAAAAGAAAGATAAAAATCTAACCACAAGTTTCCTGAAAAGTGCCTCCAAGCAAAAAATGACTGTGTTCAAATCTGACTCCAAATCTTTACTGTCTAAATGAGTTTTTTTTCTTTACCGCATTGGGCTGATAAAAAGGTTGCCGTGCCAGCTCGGCTACTTGTCCTGCTGCCTCCAGAGGGAGCGAACTCTGTCCCAGCAGGTGCAGATGCCTCCGGGGTAATTCAAGGGCAGTGTTGTCACAAAGGTGTTAATATACTTGTGCTGGGAATCAGATAGGGACGTGCTCTGTGTGTTTACTCCGAGATAGGAGTGACTCTGCCCTTACAGCTCTGTCTCTCGGGCACTCATTTTTCTCTGTGCAAAGTAAGCATGAAGTGCCCCAGATGAGAAGGGAGGTGATCTAAATCCTCCTGCAAGTAGTTGTCTGGGAAGCTGGATAGCCAGACAGGGTACATCTCCCCAACCAGATATTTTGGTGATCTCTGGAGGTATGACCTCACCATACATCAGTGTGGGAACAGGCTTGCACACCAGCCCAGCTGCTCTGCACACTGCTTGGATAGGATCAGCCCCAAATCTTTGGAAAATGACAGAGAAAAGGCTCGTAAGTCCCTGCCACTAATGGCAGCACAACCACACTGCAGCATGGATCACAAGCCTTTCCCCCTTGTCAGACCCGCTATTGCCCATCATGCAGATAATTCATAGCAGAAGCTGCCCGACCCACCGCAAAGCCCCGAAGGGATCTGAGAAGCCGGGGCTGCCATCAGCACCGAGCTCTGCTTCCCTCACCTCCCACTCCCTTCCAGCCAGGGCACAGGTAGTGCCCAGATGGTCTTGGGTCTGGATGAGACCGAGCCCTTGTCAAATGATGGACCCAGCAATGGCAGGATGTGGCCACATCGGTGTGAGCCACTAACAGCCAGTCTGAGCTAGTGCACAGGTCTGTGGGTAAATGCGGATGAACTGTAGTGAGCTGAGGTGAGAGATTTGCCAGGAGAGCAAAGGAAGTGTGGGCTAATCCTAAGAGAAGGAAAGGGGCAGAGGTCAGCTCAGTGTGTGCATAATGGGGGTTCATTCTGCCTTAAACATAAGGCACTGTGAATTGTAGAATCAATCAGAGAGTATAGCAAAGCTATATCAGCAATTCCATTTCTTCTAGGAAAGCCTCAGGGCATGCTATCATCTTGCTAGGAGGATGAATTAGTAGGGAATAGGCATACAAGGGTGTAACTGAAGCCTGCTTTGCTTTCAGTTAGAAGAGGGGCAGAGTTAATACTCCACGTCACTTACCAGTCTGATGTCTCTAACTACTAAATCTTCCCTCTCAGTATTTGCAGGGGAGAAGAGGAGATTAATCTACATCACACTCTGGGAACGACTACAGGAGGCTTCTTCTGAAGCACAAGATAGATGTGTGCAAGATAAGACCACAAGTGGCTTCAGTTCCCATCTACACCCATTTTTTCGCCCTTCAGAAGGACAGTTTCCCAGGCCAGTCACCCAGCGATTCCCTGCCGTGGGTCACAGGAAGGTGTGTGAGCCCCGGAGACCCGCTCTGCAAGGCAGGACACTGGGGAGTCACACTGCAGTGATGGGGAGAAAGCTTGTGTGGGGAGATCCTGATAAGGCCAAAGAGTGAACAGTTCCTGAAGGAGCTCAGCTCCACATGCTCATCTTCTGAGGGGAACGTGGTGGGGCCAAGTGTTCTGCAGGGAAGTCCACCCACAGGAGAAACAACAGTCTGAGGAAGGGATTAAAGAAATGCAGCATGTTGCAGGAGAAGAAGAAGAGAATCTTTAAGTTTTTCACAGGAGAGCTGCTGTAAGTGTCCTAAAAAATGGGTACAAAGGGCCTGGGAACTGCTTCATCCCAGCCCCCAGCACCAGGATGAAGACCCTGGCCAGGAGGAGTTGGATTTCTCTGAGAGATCTGAGGAAACAAGTTAGTGCTAGAAGTAAGCCTTGATGTGGAGTGTTTCTCTCCCAGTGAGGGGTTGATGCACGATCCAGCCCATGGTGGGATAATAGATCAGATCCTTGGGGCAATTGCTCAGGCTGAGACAGGACTGCCATAAATGCCTGTGAAGTGCCATGGAGGGGTGCTGGAGAGGGAAGGAATTGCAGCTACCCAAATGGCTGTTCTGCTACAGGCATTGAAAAATGATACTGTTTAGAGAGAGCTTAGTGTAACGGTGTGAGCCCAGACAGCAAGGGATGGGTGACTGCAACACTCACAGCTCAGGCAGCAGGTCAGGAGAAGTGATAGTTCCCCTCAGCACTGCTAAGGCCAGGTCTGGATATTGTGTCCAGATTGGTTGCTCCAATAAAAGAGGGAGGTTTACAAACTGGGGTGATCTTGGAGGAGGATGTTAAGAAGGTTGGGGACTAATGTACATGACAGAAAGCGGAGGTGTGAGTGATGGGTTTGTTCAGCCTGAAGAAGAGAAGGTGCCTTCAACTACTCAAAGGATTCTATGGAGATGGGGCCAGACACTTCTCAGACATGCACTGAGAAAGGACAAGAGGAAACAGACACAAGTTGGAACAAGGGAAACTTGAGTTGGAGCATGGACAGCACTCTCCCCTGTGAGAGTGGTGCAGCCCTGGGACAGGGTGGACAGGTGGTGGGCTCACCATCCTTGGTCTCTGTCCATCAGAGTGACAGCCCTGATCAACCTGACCTGGCTTTGGAGTCAACCCTGCCCTGCTCAGGGGTTGGACTATGATCTCCCGAGGTGCCTCCCAACTGATACCTTTCTGTGGTTTCTGCTTTGTTAGGGAGTTAGTCTACAACATAACTGGATGCACTCCCGAAGACTGAAGGATATTTGGCTGCCCACTCCAACTGACACTGCCCGTCCAGGTCCAGGTTCACCTGAGCCTCATCTCTGGTCAGTGCCTGTCATCCTGATTTTTGGGTTACAAGCTGCAGAGCATGACAGCTGAGAGGTAGAGGGGGAGAGCATCTAAGGATGGAAGGAACTCCAAGAGAAAAGAACCAAGCATGAAGTTTGGACACCATCCAATGTCAACATTTCCCTGGTTGGGTCCCATGGCCTGCAGCTACCCTGGTTCCACAGCAGACCAAGAACTGCTCCCACGGGTGCTCAGCAAGACCTAGTCTTGCATCAAGGCAACCAGGAGACATCCAGGGTGGCCATCAGTAGTGGAACTAATGCTTTGTGTATCCTCCTCACTGAGGGCTACTCTCCAACTGTAGTTATGGTTTGCCATGGTGCTGGGCTTGGGGCTGGTGCATGCATTGTCATGCTCAGAGTCCAAGGGATAGAGATCTGGAGTGATGGAGCCCCGTCTGCAGCGTAATGGCCAGCCCTGGCTGGCATAGAGCTGTGGTGGTCCACTCCACCTGCCCAGGTACTTGCACCCTGACCCTTTCCCCTCTGCCTGGGGTGCACTAGAGCTCAGGGGCACATAGAGGCTGTGGTGCCTCTCAGGAGTCAAGAGCCTGGGCACCCTGGGGTGGATCAGTGTCTGCTCATCCAGCCCCAATCTGCAAGGATCAGGATACAGCAAGTATGGGGCTGGGAGAGCAGAAAAGAGTGAGGCCACCAGTGCCTCAGTGTCCCCTGTGTGTGGCAAGTGTTGACTTTCCTGAGCAGGAAGCATGACCCTCAGCTGGGTCACTGCATGCTGAAAATCAGTGTTCTCCTGCAGAGCGCCCGCTTCACCAGCACCTCAGAAGAGAGCTGTGCCAAACGAGCTGTGAGCAGACCACGCAGCCTGGGACGTGGTGATGGCCCAAATGTACACAGCTGTGTGGCTACTGGTACCCTTGGAGTGCGGTCCCAGTACCCAGCATCAGCAAAGCTGCTCTGGCAGTGACCACACATTCCATCGTGTTGCGCACTCAAGGACTTGAAGGCATACCTGAGAGATCAGCACCTGAATGAGACCCTGCATGGAACAAGGCAATGAGCAACTCTTCAAGGCTGTTTTACTGAGGTTTTGTTTTCATGTGGCATCAGTAGAACATTGTCATTCTAGATTTTCACCTTGGGAAAGCTATGCAAGCAGCTTTGCACTGATGCCTGTAGAGCAAGTCACCCTGATGTTATGCTTGAGAGAACTCAAAACCTTGGGACCTTGGCAAGACAGGAGCTGCCTCCAAGAATGTGGACCAGGGCACTAAGAGACTTGGTGCAGGCTCTCCTGTTGTCACTGAGGAACAAGTTAAAAAATATGATGACTCTGGCATGAAGAACCAGACATCACAGAAACCTGTTGTGTCACAAGAACAGAGAAGGTACCGTTGACTTTAACACTGCCTCCAAGAAAGTCTTAATTGGGATGAGGAGGTCCCTAGCATCCTGGGTTTGGGTGATTTGTGTGGTTGGGGGAACGATGCAGTCACCCATCTGATTTTGCAGAGAGAAGGGAAGTTTTCAGGAGGCCCTGGACAAAGCCCTATGCAGCCATCCAGCCCCGGGTGCTGCTGCATGTCCTGGAATAACCTTGGGACATGTGGGCAGAGTCAAGGACGGGAAGGCAGGACTCCTGCTCTGGGCCAGATTTCCAACGGAGTGCTGGCTGCCCGCAGGGTTATTGCTGCTCTGCAGTGTGCAGGGTCTGGCCAGGAGGGTGCACAGCTGGGTGCAGTGACTCCAGATGTCATGGGAAGGTGGAGGAGAGTTAAGCTGCACATGAAAAGAGGAGGAATTTCTCATCTGGCTCCGTGGCCAACAACCCAGCATCAGCTCTTTCTTTCTGAAACCTCCCAGGATGGCAGTTTTTGAGCATATTGTGCAACACAGCCCAATGGAGAAGAGGAGGATGTCAGCTGGCAACAAGTTCCTGAAAGAGCTGTAGGGCTTAGCCTCAGGCCTTCAGAGAGCTGGGGGGGTGTGAGAAGCCAGCCTGAGGGCTCTGGACTCACCTGTACTCCAGGCTCATGCACTCGAAGAGCCGGGTGAGGGTTGGGTCGATGCTCCGGGGATCAGCTGGTTCGGGCTCGGTGCGGTGGTGGCGCCGACGGGGTAACGAGTCGCTGTGCGGGGATGACACCATGAAGTGGCCGCTGTGGATGACCTGGGAGGGGCTCTGCACCCCGGTACCAGGTCCTGTGCCACCCACAGCAGCATCCTCAGAGTCCGAGTCAGAGTCAGAGACGGGGCACGGCCCAACCGGAGGCTCCGGGAAGGGTCCCAGGAGTCCCACTTGAGCTCTTGCCATTGCTCGACGCCTGCGGGGCCCCTTGTCAGCCTGCCCCAGCGCTGTTGATCCCCGTCCGGATTGTGCCCTATGGGTGCTGTGTCGGCACTGAGCACATGCTCTTGGGCTCCCCAGCCCAGGACACCCACACCACACCTCTTCCTCGGCACCGCTCACCCCACCCCGAACCACGCTGTCTCTCCACACTCCCAGGTTCAGCTTTCGGTTTGCAGGGGCAGCTCGCCGTTAGCCCTATTTATAGTCGTGTCGGCTGATCCCGCCCATGGCACACTGTCAGCCAGGCCGCAGCACCCTGCCACCGGCCATGAGAGCTTCAGATCCCTGCCGCTGTCCTGCTCTTGCAACTTGCCTGACAGCCCTGGCTTTTATTTCCCCTGCAAACCCTGTCCCCCCCTCGCCAGCGGCCACGGGTTCGCTGGCAGTCAGCTCTGTTTACCCAGGGTTAATCGCTGCTCCCAGCGTGCTGGTGGGGAGAGGAGCGGGCACTATTTACCTAGTGCCTCTGCCCTAATGTATCTCCCTGCACTTTCAAGGGAACAAATACAGATTAAGGGACACAAACAGGTAAAATTATAGCAACGGGCACCCAGCTCAGCACAGAGCACGCCGAGTCACTGAGCCGTGTGCCAAGCTGAGAAACAGTCCAGGCAAAAGCCTGCTCCGAGGTGTGACCCAGCAGGAGAGGGGCTGAAAATGCCGAATGCAATAGAGGACAGCGATGAGCTCAGGTACGGTGGGATTTACAAACCCTGTAGTCAAGCAGTCTTTAAAGCGGATTACCTTCACCTCCGAGGTGTCCTGAGAGATGCGATAGTCAGGGTTTGATGTGCCTGCCCCCTCCCCTGCTCCATGCCAGCTGATCGTTGATAAATAATGAGAGGTCTTGCCAGGGTTTAGCATGTGCCATGACAGTCAGACCCGTGTTATGAGCATCTCCTCACTGACCAGACCTGCAGCGGGACAAACGGGATATAATTTGAGACTGAAATAACTTTTTTTCACTCTAGTTTCTGGCAACTTCTTCCCCAGCTCCACAACCTGGCACAAGCACACATGCCTGCAGAGCACCCGAGCGCAGCTTTTAGCCACCTATGATGAAAACATGGGATAAATGATGGCACAAAGTGAATGTAGATGGCCGCAGGCATCTGAACTTTAATCCAGCTTGCAGGTGGAGCAGAGCACCCTCTGTACCACACGGGTGGGTCCTGCTGGTTCTCTGGAGGAGTGAGTAGCTGTCCAGGGTATTTTCTGGGCTGGCAGAATAAACACAAACAGCTGTTTTAGACAGTTTTCACACTGGTTGGTGCAAACCTCACTTAGGAACCATTTCTTTGTTTTTCAGCCAGCTTTGCGTTGCTCTGTAGCTCTCTTTTCCCCCTCTGTGATTCATTACAACCATGCCACAGATAGAATCACAGAATCACTCAGGTTGGAAAAGCCCCTCGGGATCATTGCGTCCAACCCTCAGCCCAACTCTACAAAGTTCTCCCCTACCCCACATCCCCCACAGCTCATCCAAATGGCCCTTAAACCCCCCCAGGGATGGGGACTCCCCCCCTCCCTGGGCAGCCTATTCCACTCTCTGAGCACTCCTGGGAAAAATATTTTCCTAATGTCTAAACCTCCCCTGTTGCAGTTTCCAGCCGTTCCCTCTTGTTCTGTCACCAATTCCCTGGGAGCAGAGCCCAGCCCCAGCCTCTCTGCAATGTCCTGTCAGGAGCTGCAGAGAGTGACGAGGTCTCCCCTCAGCCTCCTCCTCCTCACACTGAACACCCCCAGCTCCTTCCATGGCTCCTCACAGGATTTATTCTCCAGCCCTTCCCCAGCCTCGTTGCCCTCCTCTGCCCTTGCTCCAGCCCCTCGAGATCTCTCTGGTATTGAGGTGCCCAAAACTGGACACAACACTCCAGGTGTGGCCTCACCAGTGCAGAGTACGGGGGAATGACCAATGTCATCCTGTCCAAAGCTGCCTGTCTAGATGTTGAAGAGAGAAGTAATTTTAAAAGTACTGTCTGCAGATGTTTTATATCAATAATGGACATGGGACTGTCCTGGGAAACTAAGAATTAGGCAGGCCACAAGAGAAGCAAAGATGTCAGAGACACACAGGCTTTCTGGGAGCACTCCTCTGTGCAGGGCCCTGCTGTGCAAAAGGGACTTTCCAGGTTTTTCCCCAGGATCATTTGTCACCTGTTTACCAGCTGCAAGGAGACTTGACGTAGTCTGAGGGAAGCAGCGAAATACATCAGTGAGGCTTTTAGGGACATTATAACTCCCTCATCCCTGGTCCAACAGCTCTTGTGCTCCAGAGGAGGGAAATCTCATGGGCAAAGGGCACCCAGACTGGGGAAGGGGGTGACGGATCCTGCAGAGGAACCTTCCCCAGAAGACGGTGGACCAGAGCAGAGGTCCTGCACAGGAGCAGGCAGGCTGCAGTGCTGAGGGGTTTTGTAACTGGCTGTTTGGATCCTAAAATGTGTGATGTCAGGCACAGCCATATGGATGCTTGGTCTTGGAGAGAGTGTGGCAAGGGAGTTGTGGTCTTGAGTGCAACACAGGATGGATGTCCTAAAGGTGTCCCAAAACATGCACTGTCACACGGTCCAGAGCAGTTCTCCAAAATTACCTCAACACCATGCACAGAGACAGGGAGAAACATCCTCTGTGTCTGGGAGGAGAACAGCATTGGGACACAGACATCAGATTTATTAGTAGATGAAGAAACTGAGAGTTGATGGGACCTGCACAAGCTCGGAGATCTCCATTTGACCCAGCCAGAGTGGGATGCTGGTGTGTGCAGACACAACCGTGATGGATGGGGATGGGTTGGGCTCAAACCTGAGGGGTATTCAACAGATGCAGAGGAGCACACAGCTCCCAGATTAGTCCCTCAAGATGGGGATCCTTTGAAGTCATAAAAATTCAAAATCCTAAAAAAAAAGGACTATGACTGAAATTGCTAGCATTGCTACCAGGAATAAGGTAGAGAGAAGAAATGTATTGTGAAAACAGCAAAGCTGTGGCCTGAATATGTCACATTGAGGGAGATCAGACACACCATATGGGTAGAAACAGTGGGAAACATCCACAGAGACCCTGTTACAAAGAGGTTAAAATGAGCATGAGAAAGGGTAAAATGTAGAGAGGGCATTTACAGACACTGTGGTGAAGGTTTGGAATAAATATAATCAAGTTAACCACAGCCAGATACCGAGAAGTTCAAAAGAGCCAACAGGGGTAAACAGAGGAGAGGAGACTATTGGATGCTATTCAGAAGGTAGAAATCACCTTCAAAGAACAAGAAAAATAGAAAGCATTATGAATTTCAGCAAGGGAAATATAAAACCACAAAAGGCAGGACAAAAATAATTTTACTGAGCAATCTGAGAAAGACAAAAACTAATATTAAAACCTGGTTCACAGCTATCAGAAGTGGAAAGTCTGCCAGAGCATCTGCAGTCTCTGCAGAAGATGCACCAGGGATGCCAAGGGCTGGGAGGGCGGGTGGGGGAGCACCTCATGACTGCCCCACTGTGCTGGTGGTGGGGAGCCTGCAGGCCCAGGCTGCCGTGCCACGGGGGCAACTGTGCAGAGGCTTTGCACCTCCCAGCCCTGGTGCGGTTGGTGGCAGGAATTAAAATTGAGAAAGCTCAAAGAAATTGCAAAACTCATCTATCAGATTAATAGTTCCAGACCTCCAGGAGCAGAGACTGTTGCCTGGGAGCCCTTGCCAAGCTCCACCAGGACACTTCTGATCTGCCAACAGTGGGCTGTGACCTGTTACTGGCCTACCAAGGGAACGGAGGTGGCACAGATAGTGTCTGTTTTTGAAAGGCTGGGTTGCTCATCTAAGGGTCTCCAGAGAAAGAAGTCTTATTTCTGCACCTAGTGAAGCAGTAGAAATTGTAATAAACATGGAATTAATGGGAACTCATGGATAAATACAATAACTTGAGGAAGAGGAAAGTTGTGGCTCAGAAATCTGTTACAGTTGTTGGAAGGAGAGGTGGTGTATATGGACAACAGTGATCAGATCAATAGAGTGTAATCCAAAAGCTTTTAAAAAGATTTATCACAGAGTTTTCAGAGACACTGAGCTACAACAGATCAATAGCCTGCAAAGCTGGGAAGCAAAGATAAGACTAATTGGTAAATTTTCTCAGTGCAGAGAGATTGCCTGTTGGATGTTACACGTATCTGTACTGGGGCTGGATTTGTCATCATATTCATAAGTGATGTTGAAAAGGCGGTAAATAGCATGGTGACAACATCTGCTGGTGGAGAAAACATTTCAGAACAGTCATATATAAACGTGACTGGAGAAAGCTGCAGGAGGATTTCAGGCTACAGAGTGAGTGGGAGATAAAACGGCAAATGAAGTTCACTGTTGATAAGGCTAAGGTGAAGTACATCCTAACAGTGGTGGGCTCTAAATGAGCCATTACTGTTCAAGTGGCCAATCTGAGGGCCATTGTAGGCAGTTCCCTGAAAACATCAGCTAAAGGTTCAGGAGAAATTAAAAAATAAAAAGGCTTTAGAAATGGCAAGGCAAGGAAAGAGCTTTCAACAGAAAACATCACTTGCTACTGTATAAACCAGAAGGTGCTCACAGCCATCGGCAGTTTTGGTGCCTGGATCAGAAAAGATGTAGAAGACCTGGAAAAGGTCACAGAGATGAGGAAACTGGGTGATCAGAAGAGGGAATGTCATCCCTGCAAGAACAGGCTGAATAGATCAGGACTGCCCGTGTCAGGAAAGAGCTGAATGAGGAATGGTTATTCAGCACTTTTCACAACACAAGAGCTGCGGGCACCTGGCATCTCAGGATGTTGTGAAACCAGAAGTCTGGACACAACAAGGAGTTAGATAAACTGATGGAGGACTGGAACTATTAAAAGTGACAGTTCACATACTCTCTGTGTACAAAGAAAGCTCACTCATGGGAAACTACACACTCTCCAAATGGCTCAGAACCAGATACAGCATGCTTGTTGCTG